TCTTCTTCTTCTTCTTCTTCTTCTTCTTCTTCTTCTTCTTCTTCTTCTTCTTCTTCTTCTTCTTCTTCTTCTTCTTCTTCTTCTTCTTCTTCTTCTTCTTCTTCTTCTTCTTCTTCTTCTTCTTCTTCTTCTTCTTCTTCTTCTTCTTCTTCCTCTTCTTCTTCTCTTCTTCTTCTTCTTCTTCTTCTTCTTCTTCTTCTTCTTCTTCTTCTTCTTCTTCTTCTTCTTCTTCGTCTTCTTCTTCTTCTTCTTCTTCTTCTTCTTCTTCTTCTTCTTCTTCTTCTTCTTCTTCTTCTTCTTCTTCTTCTTCTTCTTCTTCTTCTTCTTCTTCTTCTTCTTCTTCTTCTTCTTCTTCTCTTCTTCTTCTTCTTCTTCTTCTTCTTCTTCTTCTTCTTCTTCTTCTTCTTCTTCTTCTTCTTCTTCTTCTTTCTTCTTCTTCTTCTTCTTCTTCTTCTTCTTCTTTCTTCTTCTTCTTCTTCTTCTTCTTCTCTTCTTCTTCTTCTTCTTCTTCTTCTTCTTCTTCTTCTTCTTCTTCTTCTTCTTCTTCTTCTTCTTCTTCTTCTTCTTCTTCTTCTTTCTTCTTCTTCTTCTTCTTCTTCTTCTTCTTCTTCTTCTTCTTCTTCTTCTTCTTCTTCTTCTCTTCTTCTTCTTCTTCTTCTCTTCTTCTTCTCTTCTTCTTCTTCTTCTTCTTCTTCTTCTTCTTCTTCTTCTTCTTCTTCTTCTTCTTCTTCTTCTTCTTCTTCTTCTTCTTCTCTTCTTCTTCTTCTTCTTCTTCTCTTCTTCTTCTTCTTCTTCTTCTTCTTCTTCTTCTTCTTCTTCTTTCTTCTTCTTCTTCTTCTTCTTCTTCTTCTTCTTCTTCTTCTTCTTCTTTCTTCTTCTTCTTCTTCTTCTTCTTTCTTCTTCTTCTTCTTCTTCTTCTTCTTCTTCTTCTTCTTCTTCTTCTTCTTCTTCTTCTTCTTCTTCTTCTTCTTCTTCTTCTTCTTCTTCTTCTTCTTCTTCTTCTTCTTCTTCTTCTTCTTCTTCTTCTTCTTCTTCTTCTTCTTCTTCTTCTTCTTCTTCTTCTTCTTCTTCTTCTTCTTCTTCTTCTTCTTCTTCTTCTTCTTCTTCTTCTTCTTCTTCTTCTTCTTCTTCTTCTTCTTCTTCTTCTCTTCTTCTTCTTCTTCTTCTTCTTCTTCTTCTTCTTCTTCTTCTTCTTCTCTTCTTCTTTCTTCTTCTTCTTCTTCTTCTTCTTCTTCTTCTTCTTCTTCTTCTTCTTCTTCTTCTTCTTCTTCTTCTTCTTCTTCTTCTTCTTCTTCTTCTTCTTCTTCTTCTTCTTCTTCTTCTTCTTCTTCTTCTTCTTCTTCTTCTTCTTCTTCTTCTTCTTCTTCTTCTTCTTCTTCTTCTTCTTCTTCTTCTTCTTCTTCTTCTTCTTCTTCTTCTCTTCTTCTTCTTCTTCTTCTTCTTCTTCTTCTTCTTCTTCTTCTTCTTCTTCTTCTTCTTCTTCTTCTTTCTTCTCTTCTTCTTCGTCTTCTTCTTCTTCTTCTTCTTTCTTCTTCTTCTTCTTCTTCTTCTTCTTCTTCTTCTTCTTCTTCTTCTCTCTTCTTCTTCTTCTTCTTCTTCTTCTTCTTCTTCTTCTTCTTCTTCTTCTTCTTCTTCTTCTTCTTCTTCTTCTTCTTCTTCTTCTTCTTCTTCTTCTTCTTCTTCTTCTTCTTCTTCTTCTTCTTCTTCTTCTTCTTCTTCTTCTTCTTCTTCTTCTTCTTCTTCTTCTTCTTCTTCTTCTTCTTCTTCTTCTTGTCCGACACCATCATTATCGTCTATTTGTCTTTTTCTTCTTCCCCATCCACCACTTCTTTCTCTTCGTTTTTACCTCCTTTCCTTCATTGTTTAATCCTGCATACTTTGTGTGTGTACGATATTCCCTTTCTTTATCACCATCTTCTAATGTTCTCTTCACCTTAGTCTATAATAGCAGACAGTTATGAACTCAGTCATTTGCTGTGGTTGGAACTGCTACAATACTGTAAGCAATGAAAGTGATCAGTCTTACCTGTACTCTAGTCAACAACTTGTACTCGTTCTTGTCCGCGAATGCAGACACCATCCCTCCGGCCGTCAGCACCGGAATTCCCCAATAATAGGAGAACCGTGCAACAGGAGCGATGGCGTACTCGCAGGCTGGACCTACAAACACATGTGCTGACTGGTTTACGTACATATCAATGGCTGCCAAAGGACCAAACGTTTCTGAGCAAGCTGAATCTGCCACGTTCAACACAAAACGGTATCCATGAAGAATTGTTGGGTCCTTCTGAACTGTTTCCGTGGCCAGTTGAATGGCCGGGAAGGTTGCTTGCAGAACCCACTGGTGGTTTCCCGTGAAAGGCAACAAAACCCCGATTTTGATTACGTTTGATGGTGATATTGATAAGTTTGAAGTTGGACATGGGCGGGATCGAATATGTGTGAAAACTATGCTGAATTTGGCTAGGAAAAATGCGTGCAGCCAAATCTTCATCGACATGGTAATTACGATTGTTTATAAATAAATGTCGACGAAGGTGTACAAATTCTGTTGATGAACTTCGGAAATCATCTGATGTATTCCATAGGAATTTTAACTTGTTACATCGTCTCATAATTAGATAAGTAATTTTATAGAAATGTTTTTTATGACACCATTGTTCATATCGTCAAAATGCGGAGTAGAAATTACTAGTGAGAAAAATAATAATACATAGGAGATAAGTACTGATCAGTAATGCTCATTAAACGAAAATAATGTCCACAGATAAAAATGGCTGTCACCCAAAAAATAACAATAAATGATGAAGAAATTGAAAATGTCACAAACTTTGAATATCTAGGCTCTATAATAAACAACAATGGAGACTGTTCAACAGAAATTAAAAGGAGGATGGCCATAGCAATGCAAAGATTCAACAGCCTTAAAGATATGGTTAAGCACCAGCAAGGAGACAAAAACTAGAATTTTGGGATGTATCTTCCCTGTGACTACATACAGATGTGAGTCGTGGACTATCTTTCAGCCCTAAAGAAAGAGAATAGGGGATTTTGAGTTGAAATGCTATAGAAAGATTCTCAGAATATCTTGGACAAAGAAGATGGAAAATATTGAACATCAAGTAAGATTGGCTAATAAACAGCATCCTTTCTCGAAAGCTGAAATATTTTGGTCATATCAAGCGCCACGACGGATTGGAACAAATTATAGCAGAAGGCATGGTACCAGGAAGGAGGGACAGGGGCCGACCGACACGAAGATGGGCACAGGATATAAGTGACTTCTTGACTGTGAAAGTACATAAGGCGGGAGAACTGGCGAGAGACCGAGTTTCTTTCAGGCTGACTGTGATGAGAGCGACGTTCTGCAAAGGACCTGCTACACGATGAGAAATGCTCGTTATTAAACGAGAACCACTGGATGCATTTGCACATTGGTGGCCAAGTTGTAAAGTGCAGAGATAACTTCTGTCTGTGTGTGCGGACCAGAGAAACCAGCTTAAAGTGTATGTTCTACAAACTGCGTGTTTCCAAGAGACACATTTAGCGTTATGTACATGCCACGGTGGTCTGAAGAGAACGGTGGTGGATGCTGCAGTTTCCTTAAAAAGAGGTAGAGGAAGAACTCAGCAAATGTGAATACAGGACAGTAAAGAAGCATGAGTTATGAAAGCACACAGGGCTGAAGAAATGTCTAGAGAAAGAGAGACTTTCAGGCGTGCCATGAAGAGATCGAGGTTTTGTAAAGGAGCTGTTGATTGATTGAATGACCGGTGTATAAGGACATAACCGTGATTGAATGACCGGTGTATAAGGACATAACCGTGACTGAATGACCGATGTATAAGGACATAACCGTGATTGAATGACCGATGTATAAGGACATAACCTTGACTGAATGACCTATGTATAAGGACATAACCGTGATTGAATGACCGATGTATAAGGACATAACCGTGACTGAATGACCGATGTATAAGGACATAACCGTGATTGAATGACCGGTGTATAAGGACAAAACCGTGATTGAATGACCGGTGTATAAGGACATAACCGTGACTGAATGACCGATGTATAAGGACATAACCGTGATTGAATGACCGATGTATAAGGACATAACCTTGACTGAATGACCTATGTATAAGGACATAACCGTGTTTGAATGACCGATGTATAAGGACATAACCTTGACTGAATGACCGATGTATAAGGACATAACCGTGATTGAATGACCGATGTATAAGGACATAACCGTGATTGAATGACCGATGTATAAGGACATAACCTTGATTGAATGACCGATGTATAAGGACATAACCGTGATTGAATGACCGATGTATAAGGACATAACCTTGACTGAATGACCGATGTATAAGGACATAACCGTGATTGAATGACCGATGTATAAGGACATAACCGTGATTGAATGACCGATGTATAAGGACATAACCTTGACTGAATGACCTATGTATAAGGACATAACCGTGATTGAATAACCGATGTATAAGGACATAACCTTGACTGAATGACCGATGTATAAGGACATAACCTTGACTGAATGACCGATGTATAAGGACATAACCGTAATTGAATGATCGATGTATAAGGACATAACCGTGATTGAATGACCGTTGTATAAAGAAATAACCGTGTTTGAATGACCGATGTATAAGGACATAACCAGAGCCGACATGGTGTAGCAACTACAAACTCGTCTCGGGACCTCAAGGTTGTGGATTCAAATTCGCATCAAGCCGGATATTTTTCTTCTGAAAAATGACTTTGGCTCTAGGTCGATCTAGCCTAAAGTGGGTACCAGGTTATAGCCATAGGAAGTAAAGGTGGCCAATGGGATGCTAACCAGGTTGCCCACCGATGGTCCCACTGATCGCCCACTTTTGATCTAGCACGAAATGTCAAATGGCGTGTCCTTTTTTTTTTGGGTATATACGTTATGGGTGTTGGCGTCTGTGGCTTAGGCGTTGCAAACGCGCTTTGTAATACCGGGGTGCCGGGTTCGATCCCAGCTGCGGGTCTTGCGCCCTGCGTTGGTTTCGACAGTGGCATCGAGAAGCCGACCGTCCAGGGGGCAATGGCGAACTATCGGACTTAAACTTGCCTAGAAAAACTACACAGCCAGAAAATACTGGGGTTGGTTCTGCAACGTCCTGTGAAGGATACGTAACTAACTTTTTAGACGTTATGGGTATGTATTCAAAATATATACTTAAACAGACATGCAATAACGTGTGTTTTTCTGAACATATATGGTATAATTTCAGAGATCATTACTGAACACAATAAGGTTTCTTTTCAAAAATAATCACTGAATGTAAACAAGCACTAACAGTGTATTGTCTAACAAAACAGTATAGCTATATGTCAAATCCGCCGTGGTGTAGAGGCTAGACGCTCGCCCGCGGATCGAAGATCGTGGGTTCGGTTCCTGACTTGTTTTTTCTTCTACAAATGATCTTCACTTCCAGGTCCACCCATCCTTAAATGGGTACAAGATGAGTCATGTGAAGTAGAGGCAATCAGCGTGATATTGAGAACATCACCTATCAAGTGCTGACTGGTCTATCAAATATAGGTCTAGCCCGCTATGCCTAATACCAACAAAAGAAGGAAAGTGACATTTACGTCAGATTTCTATGAATGTATTCTGTTTTTCAGAGGTAACTGATTGATTCTCATCTTTACTTCTTTCTAGACGATAGTATTATACTGCGCTGTGAGGAGACATGAGACTCACAGCCTATGGCGATAGCCAGTGTGACTAGCAAGACCCGCCCACGTTAAGAAGTCTTCCACGATGAAATTTCAAGACCGGTGTTATCAACATATGTGTTTACTCCTATTCTTCTCAGACGCTCAGCTCTCACCTTTTCTGTTGTTCCCACTCCACACAACACGACACTTGGCACTCTGTTCCCACGAGTCCACCTCAGTACCTGTAGCATTCAGTCCCTCTTGCACACATCTTTGTATCGAAACAGAGATCGGCCTCGACATTTTTTACCTGTGTTTAATTCACCCCAGAGGATGTCCTTAGAGAGAATTCCAGAGTTGATCACTGACAGTATAAACACACTATCCTTCCATCGACTGATTGGTCCCCCCGCATTCTTTTGTAACAGTTCGCGGTACCATCCTGATTTTAAAGTATAAGATTCTTGATGGCAGACCAACTAAGCAGATCCAAGATATCCTGTTCAATCTCTAAAGAAATTATAATTAGGGCACGCCTAACGGCGACACAAGCCAGGTGTATCATGCAGTTCTGTGTGGGTAAGGACATTTATGATCTTTGCTTCTAACTGTATCTCTGGGTTTGTTGGTAAGTTGCGTATCCTTTACAGGACGTTGCAGAACCAACCCCCAACACACCTGGCTGTTGTGTGGTTTTTCTAGGCAAATTTACGTCCAGTATTTTGCCATTGCTTCCTAGACGGTCGGCTTTCTTGATACCCCTGTCGAAACCAAAGCAAGGCGCATGGCCCACAGTTGGGATCGAACCAGGCATCCCGCCACTACGAAGCTTTTGCATCGACTTAGCCACAGAGCCGACTCTGCGTTTGTATGTAACAGTAAGGTAAACATTCATTGTAAGTATGAGTAAAGACTTTCCACGTCTTCGAGCCTTTTGGGCATGTTGGGCTGGACCTATATGTTACTGATCAATCAGCACCCGGTGGGTAATGTCATCAAAATTAAGTTAGACGCCTTTACTTCCCATCACTTTTACCTGATACCCGTTAAAGGCTGTGTCGACCTGGGAGCCAAAGCGTTTTGTACAAATGTCCAGCACCATCCGGATTTAAATCCGCGACCTTCAGATTCGCAGGCGAGCGCGCAGCCGTTACACCACGACGACCCCCATATACACGACTGTGTGTGTGGTGTGTGCGTATTGGCTTTTTTACCCCACCAGGACATCACACAAGCGATAAACACCCGATGACACAAAGTGCCACCATGTGGATGAGGATCACCGTGGAGAGGTCCTAGAAACCGCGTTCAGACATTTGGCCATAATAATGACCTGCCTATATTGCGACCCCTGGCAAAAGCCAGAGTGGGGCTTCAAAGAACAAAAAATAACGTCCTAAGAAGGGCGTAACGTGTGTGCGTATGTGTATCCCAAGCTTATATTTCGTACAGTTCAAGAATCAATGACATTATCGTTGTAAATATAGTTCAAGGGAAACCACTCAAAAAATCACAAGTGCCCAAGAAGAGAACATTGGTTGTTACCCCTGCTAAACAGTTTCTCAACTTCTCAATAAATTTATCTTTTACCTTCCTTCGAAAGAGTGCAACTGCAGGAACCAGGAGTCTGCAAACAAATAAGACAGTTCTGATAAACGGATGGGCATGCAAAGCTAATTCCGAAGAACATTTAAAGTCCAGACTTGGAAAAAGGAAGAGAGAGAAAGAGAAGAGAGAGAGAGAGAGAGAGAGAGAGAGAGAGAAGAGAGAGAGAGAAGGAGAGAGAGA